ACTCTGATAATTTGAAAGTATAAATGAATTCTATGTAATCAAAATCATCAATTAAATTGGGTTCCTGTTCTCTTTAATGACAGTTTCATTGGGATTATGCATGTATGAACACAATCAAATCACTAACTAATGAACTTCACAAGTTCATGAAACCAATGTAATCATTTCTGAGACAGATCAAATCTGAAACAGCTTCAAACTCTAGCTGTTCATAAAGTAAAGGTCTTCTCTTTCTCTTCTTGTTTGTGTCCTCTTTTGTTGATTTGATGAATGAATACAAAGTTGTGATTTTTGGCTCTGTTCAAGAAAGCAGCACTTCAATGTGTGACAAAGATCTAAAGGAAACGTTGCTGCTTCTGTAGCCTTGTAGCTAATTCTCAATGTAGGCCACACACAATACAGTTGATGTGGACATATGCTTTATGTCATTCTGTGGTATTAATTGAATAAACGTTTTCATATGCATATGTAAAGTATATTGAATCGTGAATGTATGTATCAAACATATGTTTCCTTCCACCATGAGAACATGCCATGATCACCAAAGAAGATCAGAGTTTCAACTAGCATTCTAAAACCGCTACGAGAGGCGGAAAAAAAATTACTGACTATTTTCTAGGCACATGGGCAGAGTCGACGGGTGTATTGGTGTGAACCGTCACAAGAAAGCATTGACTGTGTCCGGGTATACAAGCACGCGCCTGGATACTGAAAACCAAGAAAATAGATACACATATAGAATCTCTCAGTTTATGATCAAGATTCAAAAGTCAAGTCAGGAGAAACAATCTGAATAAAATGTTACGAATTCATAAAGCGTACCAAATCTCTGGGTGCATCATCGACAACTTCAGCAGGTTGGTCAGCCCCGGCACTTGCTAAGCACGAGCCTTTGCAGGGCATGTATCTTTGCATACTGAGCAAACACAAAAAGAAGAAGAAAGCATGTGAAACCAAATTGCGAATTTTGTAATATAATTCTCTGAAACATGCCTTGATGGTTGGCTTAGAAAATAACTGTGGTAAAAAGAGTTGCTTAAGAAGAAACTTACACGTCACATTGGTTTAGAAGTGACAGTTTATTCATCACACACAATTGTCCACGCGACTTGCAAACTGCATCACATGAATCTCCTTGCCTTTGAAATCAATCCAATAAAGAGTCTAAGAATGTGGTCTCTACAAGAGCGTACACAATTCAAACCGGTCAAGCAGTAAAGGGTGTTTTTTACCTTCCGACAACAACGTCAATGCCAAGAAGTCTTGTTTCAACTTGTGTAAGATTAGCTCCTGTTTTCAGTTACTTGATGAATGTGATGGGTTATTTCGACATTTAAACGATCTTTGAAAGAAAAAGGTAGGCTATTGAGGCTAACCTGAAGCATTTGATCTCAGAGAAAAACAATGGTGAAACTTGCTGTGGTATGCATTTTCATGAACCTGGAGTTTCAGGAATTAAAAACAAATGTGACCTCTCGTTGTTTATCGCGAACTTTAATGATTATTCAGGTTCAGTACACTTTCATGAACATTCCATCAATCTCAGATAAAACTTCATTTTCACACTTAATTGCTCAACTTCATGACATATTCTCAAGAAACTTCCCCAACAAAAATCCTGTTTAACAAAAACAAAACAGTCAATCGCTTACCACACTCTCAGAATTATGGCGGCATCTCCCGGCACAAAAATCAAATACAGTCCTGTAAGTCCCTGCTAAAGCGGAAAAGTTCTTGTTAGACATAAACCAAAGGTTTGCTCAATATTTCATAGGCAATTTCAACAAAGATTAGTCATCTCGCAAAATGCAAATACATTTTCCGTTTTAGATTCAACGGATAATTTACCTGCTGTAGAAGGCTTTGCAACTTTTACCTTAACCACCTTCTCAAGAAGCGTCTGCAGAAGATGATAGATACTCATGAGCGAAAAAGATGAACCGACAAAAATGTGAAAAAAAAACCTGAAACAAAACCAAAGGTTTCATAGAATACCCGAGACGGATTCAAACAGCAAGAAACACAAAATTCATAAGAACTGCAACATTGTGAAAGGAGGTTGCATCCACTTCAAGCCAAACCACAAAAACAAGAAGTCTGATTAAGAACACATTAGTCAATAAAACCGATATTTCCTCGATAAAATACTAATGATCCTCTTAAAAAATGACTCACTGACAAGAGAATCTTTCTCCTTTCCATGGACAACAACGAGTTCGAGTATCCAATGACAGAGCATCACACACATTGCCTGCAACAACAACCATTTCATTTCATGTTTAAAAAAACAGTCCTTCTCGCTAAATCTCTTGTCGAAAGAGATTAAATGTTACCAAAAGTGAATCTTTCAAGAGTGGGGAAATTGCAAACCTTCATCATCGGAAATCAAATATTTTCCTTGGATAGTTGTTCTGCAACTCCGTTCTTCTAAAAATCCGATATCTTTCCTGCAAAATTCAATCGAAATCTTAAGGAAATGAATCAAGCGAGACAAAACAGGGGTACGCAATTCAATGAAACAAGAATGTTTTTCAATCACCTAATTGCAGAAATTCGCGACGGAAATAAGAAACCCACGAGTTGTAGAAGACCGAGGAACAGACTAAACCCAGATGTGGACATTCTTGTCGGAGAAAGAACGAATCTTTTCGACCAAATTAAGCTCCGACTCACAACACTTCAACGGATCCCACTTCAACGCCTTCGATATTTTCTTGCCTTCGGTATTGAATGCAAATTGATTGTTCGTTTTGGTCTTTTTTGGTCAGATCAAATTGATTAATTTTTGTCGCTAAATTGGGAAAATCCGCAAGCCAAAACCCGGTTCGGATTTTTTTTCCGGTTATCTTCGTTATGGGCTACATTGGCAGTTCTGCAAAATCATTTTTGAGAAAGCTTCTCTGAAATATCAAAAGAAGGAGAAACCAAAAAATTCGAGATTGGTTTAATATATGAAAACATGTTCATCTGATTCATAAACAAGCAGTACATATGAAAAAGTTTTTTTTTTTTTCTGTGATTTTGGTCATCAAATTGCCACTGTAACCTTGCTCTTCCTCCATGCCCAGTAGTTAGCTCTTATAGGATCTACACGACCGAGAATGGTACATACCAAATTGGCTAAGTTAGTGTCTGTTTCTTCATTAGCTAGAGCTTTCACTGAGTCTCTATGCTCGTTGGTTGGTCTCAATCCGTCGCATAGAAGATCCAATAAGGTGCTCAGAGCGAATCCATGGAAACTATCTGTTCGCGAGAGAACATTCAAACAGACTGATGAAACATTTGGATCACTAATCCAGGATTTTTTGTCGTCTTTGTAAAGTGCTTTCAGGTATCGCCATGAACTCTCGTTGGCGGGATTGGCTAAAATGGCTTTGATTGTGTAGCTTACTTCAGATTCTCTCAAAGCTTCTACACCTCCCAATGAAGGAGATCTAGTGATAACGTAATACCTCTGCAAGATTTGAGAGAATGAAGTTATTCAAAAAGGTGACTGAACTGGCAATGATAAATTTGGGAAACAGAATCTAGCGTGTGTATCGATGATCATATTGTTACCTGATTCCACGCGGAATTGTTAAAGACGTCAGCTTCAAGGAGCTCGTGACAGTAATCAAGCTCATTTTCCCATCCTCCTAACGCCCGTAGTGCCCACTGCAGATTGTGTCCCAGCATGAAGCTTAAAAAGACAATACATCAAGTGAGTGATTTAACAAGGTTTGAGGACACAAACCTGCCTATGTGACCAAGCATGATAATGTTTGGCATCAAGTGAAAGTACCCTCCGAGTAAAGTCAAGTTCCCTCCCTGCAACATCAGGACCTAGTTTCTCTGCAACCCATCGCCGATGATGCCTAGAGAAAAGGGAAAATTTAGAGCAGAACCATCAATCATCACAATCAACGCAAACAACCAAGGGTTAACTTTCATTAAGCAGCAGATATGTGACACTATGGACCTTGCAATGTGTAAAAGAACAAACTTTGAACTTAGCTACAGAGAATATGCACAATGGAACACACAAACAATGGCTGACTTGATAAGTACAAAAAACAGCCTTCAAATGTTGATGATAACCCCTAAAACAAGAACTTCATCATAGAGTAAAACTTTCTCCAGTCTATGGAAATGTTGTAGGTTATCGAGTAAAGCAAACATATAAAGTTCTTGGCTCACAGTTCTTCATCAGTCAATTCCACAATGTAAACACTACTCATAGATAAAGAAAAATGAAGTAAAAAAAGTAGAAGAGAGAAACGTATTAACTTTACCACAATTGGTAGTTCTTGGAATTATCCGCAGCGATGCGTTCGATGAACTCGAGTTCTTCGTACAAGTCGTGATTAAGCGCTTCAAGTACTAAGCGCCTGAAATGCCACACCTTCAAAATGGAATAAGAATATTAAGAACAAGAGTTGATTCAATCGAATATCAAAAGCTGACAATTCTTAATAGCTAATGATTATTTAAAATTCAACGAATTTCTCTAATCAATTCGTTTTGCAAAAACAGAAACTAGAAATTCCCTCTTCTAATCAGAGCAAAAAGAATCATTACTGTGTAGTTCCCGGAGTTTAACCGGAGCGTTTCTTCCGTCAGTCGTAGTGCGCGAGGAGATCGCTCGTCGGAGAAGTAAATCGCACGAAAGTAATCCATAGTCTCGCGGAACTCTTCCTTGTAGGCGATCGGAACCACCGGATTCGGCCCATCGTCCTGAGTCAACGGGACCACGTCGGACCACTCCGGTCGCTGGCTCAGTGGCAAAGTCTCGTCGGAATTCATCTCTCACTAGACGACTCGATCGAATCGCCCAAAGGAAAGTAATTTGGGATTGAGGAAGAAGATGCTCACGTCTCGAAATTAATTAAAATGGCCTTTTTAGCTCATTTTAATGGGCTTAGGCCCAAAATTGTTTATAAAACAGTATTTCTTTTTGTAACATTCTATATATTTTTTACGTTCTACAAAATAAAATAAAAACATAACAAAAGTTCATATATATATATATAACCAAAAATCAAAGATTGAGACAGCAATACAAACTTCTTGATCAGATGCCTTGTATAGCAAGTCAATTGCTTCGTAAAGCTCATAAATCGCATTATACCGGCCACGAAAGAAACTCACTCTGATCAAAATCCAAACAAGTCAAATTTCAAAACTTTATCCCAATTGGTCGGAAAAAGTTAGGTTCTCGACTGATTTAAGGAAAGTTTATACAATAGAAATTAGGGATTACCAATTCCTAAGACGAAGAAGTAATTCGAGATCCATATAAACCCTGATGTGAAAGCTATATAATAGATCTGCGTGGAACATCGAAGGACCAATGTAAGAAAAGATCAAAAAAGGAAAAGGCTTTATGCTCATAAGTGAATTCACAATCTAACGAAAGAGAAGGAAGAAATGGAATTCACAAGTGAATCAGTCACAAAAAGTAAGTAAAATGCTCTTTTTCCTCCTGAATCAGTCACAAGCAGTAAGTAAGTCATCAGTTTGCTCCTTGGCTAGTTGAAATCGTTTTGCAAGAGATCAAGCTCCTCCTCAATATGGTTCCCAGCAGCATCTTGTGTTAGCATTTTGTTGAACTGTCCAGTCACCTCTTTATGCTCATTTATATCATCAAGCAGCTCCTTTGCATCGGCTCTGCCAAAAAAAATACGTTTTTTGGTCAGATATAGAACTAGTTTTATGGTTTCAATCTATGTCAAAGACTTACAACTCATCTAGTTTGTATCTCATTCCCTCCTTTGACTTTCTCAATGCTTCATACCTATCATGGCTTTTGATGAGAGAATTGAGTTGAATCATCTCCTTCTCAAGATCATAAATCTCTTGCCTTATGCTTTTTGCTTCTTCTTCATATAATGATTTAATCCTCAACTCATGCCTAGCTCCATCTTTATGCCCTTGTTGTATCTCTTTTTTTGCTTTCTCAAGAGAACTTTCAATCATCAAACTAACACTTTGTAATATGAGCTGATGTCTAGATAATGTTGATTCAACTGCAGTGATTGCTGCTTGAATCAACATCTCTGGATCCTGCAATTTTCTCTCAACATATCTTTTAAACTTTCTTGCCTTGACTTTCAACCATTCTACAAGCCTTTCTTCTTCACTGATTCAATGAATCCTTGAGACATTATGGAAGTCCAAGCCACGAAATTAACCTAGAGAAACAGAGAAGAAACCCATTAAGAACTAAGGATGAAAAAACAAGAAAACCCAGAAAGTGTTCCTCAAAACAAAAATCAAAAGTTCAAAACTTCAGAACTGATGTAGCGGAAGCTATATAGATGTAAAGATCTTATTTAGTCTGAGAATACCTAAGATCAATGCCTTCCTGGATTCGTTGAGATCTCCCTGGATCTACTGAAAACAAGGGTTCGAGAATACTCTTCTCTGAAAAGCACAAAACTTTTTAATTTTATTAATCAATCAACTGAAAACAAAATGAGGCCTCTAGGGTTATTTATAATAAATCCTAAAAACCCTAAGAAAACTCTGGAATATTCTAGAAACTATAAGAGATAACATCAAAATAAATAATATAATTAAAATATAAATAAAAAGGAATTATCATAATCTATGCTGCATCAGGTCTCGTCGGCCAAAAAAAATTTGTCCCCGAATCTTGTATTTGCGCTGCATCAGGTCCCCCCAGCCAAGAAAGATCCGCCCTCGAATCTTCAGTAGGGTTTTCAGCATACAAATCTTCTTGGAAATATCTTCAAATGCATTCTTCTGATAAAACCCGAATTTTGCACAAATCTGATGAAACCCGAAATATGCACAAACTGGATTTTGCACGCCTTCTAAACAGATCTAAAATCGCTCGAATTTCGCACAGATCAAATCCTCCATAAAACTTGCACGAAACTGATTTTGTTCTTAGAGCTTCCCACGCATCACTTGTGTCGTGTTCAACACTCCGCACATCTCAAGACGGTTTCCGAGACAACACTTCTCTCGTTTGGAGGGACCGTAGGAATATCAAACTTTTTTGTTCATAATGTTCAAATGGAGCACATGGTCAAAAATAATGAATTCGAAGTAGGTTGTGTTGCAATTTCTTATGAGAAAGTGAGTGATGACTACCGCTATTATCAATGGAAGACCATAAAGAAAAAAAAGGGATTAAATATGCAGTCACCAAGCATTGTTCAGATTCGAGGACGAATATTTTCCTACCCGGAGGGACTTGATGCATCGCATCTTCC